TGTGTGTGTGTGTGTGTGTGTGTGTGTGTGTGTCTGTGTGTTTGCACTTCTTGTGGCCCACTTTCAACTCGAGAGCCAGAAAAGCTAGGAGGCCGAAAATTTGCGAGTATGTGCCTATACCATGCGCGGCCCTCCGATTTTAATTTCATCCCCCTCGGATGCCTAGGTGCCGCGTACGAACGCTTTAAAAAAAATATGCAAATTTTTTGGCGGGAAAGCGATCTCGGGAACTATATGAGCTAAGGGGCTGAAACTTTGTAGAGATATTCCCTGCGCATTTACTAGCTAAAGATTTCAAATTCAGTTTCCAGGTATGCTTGTTACCAACGTAGGGGCGTCGAAAGTTTTAGGAGGAAAATTGTTAACTCAGGTACCAGGAAAGCTAGAAAGCTAAAATTTTGGGGCAATGTTCCCTATCCAAGTACAACCCAAATATTTCAAACTCATCCCCAACTATGCGTGGTACTCAAGTAAGGGCGTATGAAAGTTTCTGCAGGAAAATTCCTAACTCGGCAACCAGAAGAACTGGAAGGGTGAAATTTTAGACGGATGTTCCCTATCCACGTGCAATTTAAAAATTTAATTCAGCTTTCCAAAAACCCAAGTACAGGTTTGTGGAGGTTTTGGCGGGAAAATTGCTAACTCGGCAACCAGATAAGCTGAGACGATGAAATTTTGGGGGGATTTTCCCTGTCTAACCATAAATTAAATATTTCAAAATTCAGCCTTGAGATATGCGTGGTTCTTACGTACGGGCACCTAAAAATCTTGACGAAGAAATTTCTCATTGAGCAACTTTCAAAGACCGACTGTTAAATGGAAAAAGGTAGGTGAAAAGCAACAGCCATTCATACAGTTAATGACCAGAGTAATTCAAGTCCAGTGCAAAAACACATGATCGCACGGGCCTGCCCGGTGCGTTTCAGCCTGGGTTGCATTTGCTTATAAGCAAAAACGCATAATGATTGTTATTGAATTTCAAGAAGTGTGACGATGTACGACAAATGCTATGCAAGACAGGCGAACAAATTCTGTGGCTCAAAAATGTATGAATTTGTGACCGATTTAAGCCAGCGAAGTTTCAGGTATGTTGCCTTTCCTTTATTTTTTGTTGTAAATGCAAACAGGAGACAAAATATGACATAGCAGTACTTGTACATATATACCAGTTTCTGAACTGCAAAACTGGGCCAGCCAGAAAACTGAATTTTAATTATACGAGATGCATATCAAAGACATTTGCCGGAAAATAATTTTTTTACCCTCGGCCCTCACGCAATATTTGCTTTAGAAGGGTTTAATACTAAAACAGCAATAATCGTCTGTAAATAAAACCAAAAGTACCAAGATACTGAAACTCCCGGACAATCGGAGCAAGGATCTCATGTTAGTGATGCTATAGGGACGCTTTCACACGCCCCCTGGTTGCGCTAGGCTCTTCGATCCTTCTAGTAGCACTGGTACTTGACATGTTTGCTATTTAATGCAATTCAAAGCGAATTTGTTGTTGCCTCTTATTTATGATTTTTTTATTAAGCCCACGTGTTGGGGCAATGTTGCAGGGCACTGCTCGAGTTGCTGCTGGAGTCCGGATTGATCAAACGTCTACCAGAAGCATGCAGCATCTGGGAAAGAAATTCAGCAAGCCGCTGGCACAGTGAACGTGGAAGCGCACAACGGCGCGACATCTCCGTCAACGGCTGTTCCCAGTCTTGCCGAATTGAATTTCTAATATCCGCTGCTTTAATGATCCAGTACTTAGTTTTCGGTGTTTAGGATTCGGTTATATTAATCACGATTTTAACGAGAGTCTAGTCATTTTTATGCGTTTTTGCATATATGTAAATTGCAAATTATGCGTTTTTGCATATATGTAAATTGCAA